GTGGCTCACGCCTATAATCCTAGCTACTTAGGCGGCTGAGATCTGAGGATCCTCGTTCAAAGCCAGACTATGCAAGAAAGGCCGTGAAACTCTCATCTCCAATAAACCACCAGAAAACCGGAAGCAGCACTACTGTAGCTCAAGGGGTAGAGCGCTAGCCTTGAGCTGAAGAGTTGAGGGACAGCGCTCAGGCCCAGAGTTCAAGCCCCACGACTAACAACAACAACAAAAAAGATTTCCCTAGAAAAGAACCACACACAGAAACACATACACAGTTATTTACTACCTTAGAATAGTTTGAAAAGGTTATTTAATAATCTAATGATTATACTTAACATATTTATAATTTGGTCAACATCATGTATTATCCAGATCCCTCTATATAGTTTTTATATAGATCTTCTGGCAACTCCATCCAGAAGCAGGCTTAGGAAAAACTCAATATTCCCCAACTTATGGTACTAACTCTATAAAATGCCTGTTTTCTAATTATTCATGTAATACCTTAAAAGACTGGTTCTTAGTTAAAAGTCTAGTATGAAACAAAATAAAAAATAAGCACTAAATTTTTACTTTCCATAGTACCATTTAAACAAACAAATTTTTGTAAAGAAAACTGTTTTCCATTTGGAATTTTCCCATCTCTGCAAATTTAAATTTAGAAAACAGGACTTAACAGAAAGTATGCTGCCATAATTTTTCAATTATATTAGAATTGCCATGCTTCTTTACATCACATTATTATATTGAAAATAATTTAAGTATATTACAAATCAATCGCAGCCTTGCAAAGTTGTTGCTATAAATCATATGACTTAAAGAGGAGGGAAGCTGCATTTTGTATTGTTTACCCATAGTAATTTTTTTCATAGATAAACATACTATGTATAAGTGCTAATAAATGTAGCATATTGTCAGTTTTCATAAGCTTTGTAAAGTACACTTATATTTCTAGAAAAAGACCAATAAGCCAGGCACCAGTAATCCTAGCTACTCAGGAGGCTGAGGATGGCGGTTCAAAGCCAGCATGGGCGGGAAAGTCCACGAAACTCTTATCTCCAATTAACCACCAGAAAACTGGCAGTGGCATGTGGCTCTAGTGGTAGAGTGCTTATCTTGAGGTGAAGTGCTCAGGAACAGCACCCACAACCCACAAAATAAAAAAAGCACAATAATTCTAAAGTTTAGTCGTCCTTCAGTATCTGTGAGGGAATGGATTCCAGGACCCTCTGGATACCAATACCAAAACCTGCACATGCTCAAATTGTTTATGTAAAAATAGTCTAGTATTTGCATATAACCTTTGCATATAACCTAAATACTATGGAACGAGTTGTTAATTGTATACTTAGGGAATAATGACAAGGAAAAAAATCTACATATCAGTATAGTCACAATTTTTTCCTCAAATATTTTCAACCAATTGTTTGTTTAATCCACAGATGTGGATGCATAAGGCAAGCTGTATGCAGAAAGATGCTGAAATATTAATAGAATTACAACTGGAAAATGAATTTAACCAGAAGTAATTTCCTTGTGGAACCCGTAATTTCCTTGTGGAACCCAGAAATAATAACAACAACTTTAAAAGGAGGACTGATAGAAAAAAACAATGAGCAGGAAGATAGTGATAGGAATTAAGATAGTGATAGGAATTAATATATGTATATGTTCATGAAAGTGGCATTAATAAGCCCTACTAAACAATGTAAAATAAAGGAAGATATGAAAAAAGTAATAGAAGTAGTGAATTTGATCAAAGTAATTATATACATTATGGAAAATGCCACAATAAAACTCCTTTGTACAATTAATATAATTAAATGAGAAAGTGAAAAAAGTAAGTAATTTCTCCTAGAAAGTATTTAATTCTGAGAAAAATCAACCTGTAGCCTCATATATTTATATTTATATTTGGATTCAAACAAAATTGAATGAATACTCTATGAAAGAGAATCTACATCAATCAGAAAAGTTATCTGAATGGCTTGTAAAAACACAATTAAGTAACAAATTATATTTAACATTAGAAAGAGGTACTATAATTGATGTACTATTTGAAATATTTCATTACATTTCCTAATTTTCTTCTTTTTTTTTTTGTTTTTCCTGGTCCTAAGGCTTGAACTTGGGGCCTGGGTGCTGTCCCTGAGGTTTGCTTTTGTTTGTTTGTTTGTTTGTTCTTCTTAAGGCAAGCCCTCTACTACTTGAGCTACAGTGCCACTTCTGGGGTTTTTAAGTAGTTTATTGGAGATAAGAGTCTCACACTGTTTCCTGCCTGGGCTGGCTTCAAACCATAGTCCTAAAAAACTTTAGAATTATTGTGCTTTTTCTAGAAACATAAAATGTATTTTATTTAAAAAGCTTATGAATATAGTTTTAGGGAATAATGACAAGGAAAAAAATCTACATATCAGTATAGTCACAATTTTTTCCTGAAATATTTTCAACCAATCGTTTGTTTAATACACAGATATGGATGCATAGAGCAAACTGTATGCAGAAAGATGCTGAAATATTAAGAGAATTACAACCGGAAAATGAATGTAGATATTGTAGCTGAGTAGCTAGGATTGCAGGTGTGAGCCACCAGTGCCCAGTTCCTAATTTTCTTATTATTATCTAATCAAAAGGGGAGAAAATGGTTTCTATTGGTAGCTAATAACATTCAGGGTTCATTCTAAAGTCTATACATATGTCATATAGTTATATATTATACACAGTCAATAATTTTATCCTGGGTCATTTTCCACAAAAGCTTAAGGCTACATCAGCAACACTGATTAGATTCTAAGTCTATTTTAAAAATTCTTTCTTATATAAATGGATAAGTATTCAATTATAATGCCCCACTATAAATGTATCCTTTAAAGAAAATGTTCATGATGTAAACATCTTCATTTCCTGAAAGAGGTGCTTGAAATTTCTTAAAACTTAAGAAACCTACTTTATTCCCAGAATTCCCTTCCTAGGTATATGCTAAAGTGAAATAAAAATAACTTTCCCTCAAAATACTTGAAGAATAATGTTTATACCAGCTTTGTTAACAAGAGTAAAAAAGAAAAAGAAAATAAATGTTCATCAACCAGGAAATATATAATCAACTTGTATGTTCACATAATAAAATACTACTCAGCAATAAAGTAAAATCTACCCCAAAACACAAGGGCATGAATAAATCTCAAAAAAAAGTATTTGATTGATCAAAATACATTGTACTTATAAACTGTACTTACAATTGACTTGTGAAATTGAAATCCCTTTGTATAACTAATTTTTTTTAATGTGCCCACTGATTCACACCTGTAATCCTTATTATTTAGGTGGCTGAGATCTGAGGACCACAGTTTAAAGCCAGGAATGTCCATGAGATGCAAATGTTCAATTAATCATCAAAAAGACAAAGTGGAGCTGTAGTGTAAGAGATACAGTGCCAGTCTTAAGCAGAAAAATCAAGGACAGCTCAGGCCCTAAGTTTAAGCCCAAGACAGAACACACACACACACACAAAATACCAAAAAATACTGAACACAAGAGATCAGGCTTCATGTAGTAGTACTATACAATAGGTACAATATCATTGTACTATTTTATATGAAATTCAAAAACAGACAAAACAGAAAACAAACCAATGCTTGTCTCTGAGGGAAATGACTGAAGAACAACTGAAAAAGATGATGAAAATTATTCATATATTGGTAGAAGTAATTGGTTACTTACACAAGTATATTGAATGATTAAAGCCTATAGGTGGTACAGAACAATAAAAGTAAAATAGCTCAATAAAAATACAACTTGATGCCAGGCATGGTGAAGTATACTTTATAATCCCAGCATTTGGGAAGCAGAGGCAGGATTGTGAGTTTGAGGCCAGCCTAGTCTGCAAAGCATGTCTGTGCCTCAAAACAAACAAAAGAACAAACTTGAAACAATGCTCTTAATTTTTAAAAAATTCAAAACAAAAAAAACCACCTTTTTTTTAATGTAATACTTGTTTTGGCAGTTTGAACTCAAGGCTTTATGCTTACTAGGCAGACACTCTACCTCTTAAGCCATAGTCCAGGTCACATCTTTTTCTTTATTTTATAAAACTCAACAACCAATAAATATGATTATTGTATACTGTATAATAACAACCAATAAATATACTTATGACAACCAATAAATATACTTATGATTACTATCTCCTGTAAGATTTCTATCCAACATGTTAAAATTCTGTTTTATTTCCCACACATAAATTAAAAACTTTGAAAAATTCTTTTGCAACCCAGCAATGAATTCAGATAACTCATCATTCTTTAAGAATGTCCTAACTATATCCTCTTGGAATTGCAATAAGTTTGTTCTAAGTACAATTTTCTAAGTGGGACTTGTTCATATAGAATTATATTGCTCAGTGTTACTTTTTCAGTTCATTTGTGCCACTACAATAAAAATATCATAAACTAGGTAATTTACAGAGATAGGAAATACATTTTCTCACAGTTCGAGAACCTGGAAAGCCTAAGATCAATGCGTTAGCATTTGGTGAGGGATTCTTACTGCATTTTCACACAGTTTAAAGCAGAAGAGCAATATGCAATGAACTCTTGTCATGGCACCCTTTTAAAGATATCTATTTCCATTCATGAGGAAGAAGCCCTCCAGGCCTAATCACTTCTTAAATTGTCACCTTTAAAGGCCCCATCTCCCAACACTATCATACTGGTAACACCTAAAATTTGAGACACATTCACTATTAAGTCCAAGAGTAAAAGTCAATTATTTGACTCCCACTTTAAGAAGTACAGTTAAAAGATTTCAAGACAAATCCACTTTCAGTATATTAGCTAAAAATAATAGTAATTAAAAAATAAAACTAAAAACCAAAGACCAACTAATAGTTTAAAATATTATATAATGGGATCAGAAAAGCTTAATAATTTAGCTGAATTCAACTAAATTACTGAAATTTAAGAAATAAATTTCTGGGTAAGAAATTTACAAAACACACTAACCTTAGAAGACTTTCTTCGGCTTCTTCTTGTCCAAACTACCACCAGTTTATCTGGTTGCCTGTCAAACAGGAAAATCTAAGTTAGTAAAGTTTCATTTTAGCACTTTTTAAAGGCCTAAAATGTCATTTGCTTTAGATTACATAGTAGTACTATTAAAATAAAACTCTATATTCCAATACAGTCGATGCTAAAATGAGATCTATTTTAAATGACTAATATGTCCTTCACACACATTTTTAAAAGCATGCTAATTTATTGGGACAAACCAAGCAAAATATACTAAAAGCAAAGAGGGCATAGAATGATCTATTTCAAATTCTGAAAGAAAAACCCGCCAACCTAGATTACTGTATCTAGTATTGTTAACCAGAATATTGGGAAGTTTTGTTTCATAATAAACAAAAACTAAAGGAATTCATAACCACTAAGCCAGAACTATAGAATATATCTAAAAAGATTCTAAACATAGAAGAGGAAAGTAAATACAACCAAAAATTTTAAGAATAAATTTCACTAGAATAGAAGATAAACAAATAAGGAGTAGGGAAGAATCAAACATTTAAAAACAACAATGTGGTAAGAACTACTACATATTGCTTAATAATTTTTTTATTTATTTTATTTCTTTGTCAGTCATGGGGCCTGAACTCTGGGCCTGGGCGCTGTCCCTCAGCTCTTCAGCTCCAGGCTAGCGCTCTACCATTTGAGCCACAGTGCCACTACCTATGTGGTGTTGGGGAATTGAACCCAGGGCATCATGCATTCAAGGCAAGCACTCTACCACTGAGCCACCTTTCCAGCCCCAATAACTCTATTAACTGTTGATTCTCCAATCAAAAGACACACAATGGACGGTGCCAGTGGCTTACACCTATAATCCTAGCTACTCAGAAGGCTGAGATCTGAGGATCACGGTTCAAACCCAGCCCAGGAAGGAAACTCTGTGAGAATCTTATCTCCAATAAACCACCAGAAAACAAGAAGTGGTGCTGTGGCTCAAGTGGTAGAGCGCTAGCCTTGAGCTGAAGAGCTGAGGGACAGTGCTCAGGCCCAGAGTTCAAGCCCCATGGCAGGCAAAAAAAAAAAGACACAGAATGGTAGAATGGATTAAAAACTCAATTATTGTTTCCTATTTGAATCACATTTCCTATAGGAATCACAACTCAAAGCTTAAAATGAAACAAGAAAATAATATTACCATCAAATAGAACCTGAGAGCAAGAAGGAATCTCTACATTCATATCTGACAAAGCAGTCTCCAAAATTAAACAGAAAAGATAAAGAAAGGCACTTCATTTTGATAAAGGGAGCAATCCATCAAGAGGATATAATTATTGTCAACATATATGCCCTAAACATTAGTACACCCCATTTTATTTTTAAAAAACTACTGAATAGGGCTGGGAAGGTGGCTCAATGGTAAAATGCTTGCCTTGCATGAATGAGGCCCTGGGTTTGATGCCTCAGAACCACATAAGCAGAAAAAGGCAGAAGTGGCATTGTGGCTCAAACGGTAGAGTGCTAGCCTTGAGCTGAAGAGCTGAGGGGCAGCATCTAGGCCCAGAGTCCAGACCCCATAACCAACCAACCAACCAATAAATAAATAAATAAACAAACACTACTGGACAGAAAGCACAGATACATCCAACATAATAAAATAGTGGGTAACTTTAATAATTCACTCTCATTAATAAGATAGGCTATCCAGACAAAAAAAATCAACAAAGAAACTTCAGAATTAAATGACACTATAGATAAAATGGTCTTAATAGACATGTACAGAATATTCCACCAAACAGCTAATATATATATATATATATATATATATATATATATATACACACGTGTGTGTATATATGTGTGTGTGTGTGTGTGTGTGTGTGTGTGTATATATGTGGAACTTTCTCTGAAACAATATATTTTAGAATATAAATCAACTCTTGGCAAAAAACTGAAATAACTTACTATATTTTATCAAAATACAATGGAATAAAACTAGAAATCAATAGTAAAAGAAACTACCTAAAATATTCAAACATAGACACTGAACATTAATTATATTGGTGAATGATCAGTATCATTAAAGAAATAAGTATGAACTTGAAATGAAATTCATACAACCAATTGAACACATTTTACCAGAATCTTTTGAATATAACAAAGGGAGTTCTAAGAGGAAAATTTATGTCTGTAAGTACCTAAAAGAGAATCAAAGAGGAGCCAGGTACCTCCTAATAATGTCTGTAATCCTAGATACTCACTCTGGAGGCTAAGATCAAGAAGATCTCAAGTTGAAGCCAGCGATATGAAAAGTTTGTTAGTTCTCATATGAACAAATAGCTGGACACAGTGATGGGCACAATCATCACAGTTACACAGAAGACTAAATCAGGAAGTCAGTGGTTCCAAGGCCTGCTAGGCCAATCTCAACAGAAAAATCTAGGGCAGTACTGCACATATCTCATCCCAAAAAGTAGGATTGCAGTCCAAAGTCAGCCTAGGTAAAATGTGAGATGCCATTGAAGGGTTCAGACTTCCAAATAGTATCTTGGTTTCACTGTTATTGGTTTCTCTTTTTTTTTTTCTTTTTCTTTTTGTCAGCCATGGGGCTTGAACTCTGGGCCTAGGCACTGTCCCTCAGCTCTTCAGCTCAAGGCAAGCGCTCTATCATTTGAGTCACATGCCACTGCCAGTTTTCTGGTGGTTTATTGGAGATAAGAGTCTCACAGACTTTCCTGCCTGGGCTGACTTTGAACCACAATCCTCAGA